CAAAATTCCTGTCCTCTTCGGTGCAAAATAATGTTCAGTACAATTGAGTCTAGAAGGGTAACAAAAGAAAAAGAATGCCACACAAATGTGACAGGAATTTTAATGAAAGCAATTCCTGATTTGAAAGGAGTATGTCTATGCAATGATAAAGCAGGCAGTCTTTGTAATGCATTGAACATTTTTGATGATGGGATGGAAAAAAATGAAGTCAGTGTATCACAAGGATATAGCAGGGAAAAGATTCTGTCATTTAACTACAGCTGAGATAGTTTATCTCTTCAGTCTTTAAGATTTCAATTACATATGGGTCATCAATTTGCATGTTAATATCAGCACATCTGTGTAGCAACAAGGAAATCTAAGGAATAAACTAATATTTTAAAACACAAGAGCATCCTGAGTTCATCTCAAATAAAGAATTGGTGTTAGCTGGTATTAAATGTCTTCAACTTTTTTTTTATTTTTATTTTCCATCAGGTTTTTTTTTTTAAAGATTTTATTTATTTATTCATGAGAGACACAGAGAGAGAGAGGCAGAGGCAGAGGGAGAAGCAGGTTCCCTGCCGAGCAGGGAGCCCAATGCGGGACTCGATCCCAGGACCCTGGGATCATGACCTGAGCCGAAGGCAGACGCTTAACCGACTGAGCCACCCAGGCGTCCCTTTTCATCAGGTTTTAACTGTTGATTTGGAGCCGTATGTATCTCTACTACACTTTTCCATCCATCTCCCATGCTCTTTGATTCTCTCCAGACAAGAACAAATGGAGTAATTGGTTAGATTTTTGATATTGGCAAGAATCAAAATGGTTTTTCTTTCTGAACCACAGTGTAGGTATGAAGCTAAGGAAGATAGAGAAAGTTCGGGAAGTTCTTAATGAGTAATTGAGAACATTTTTTGTAGTTTTCTCAGGCTTGGATTACTTTTTCAGAGTGTGTTTGATCTCAGTTTTAGCCGATTTTAATTTGACTTTATTCTCAATAGACCCAACATTGTACATATTTTTCTCTTCCCATTCTCCTTTTAATAATGATGGCTTCATATTGTAAAGGCCTTTATAATTTACAGAACACCCTACCATACTTTATTGCCTCTGACTCCTATAAACAGCCTTGGAGGAAGATATAAAAGGAATCATTATCTTTATTTGGAAGTTGAAGTAACTGAGACCCAGAGAGGTTAACTTGAATGCCCAGTGCCATCTGGTTAGCAGCACGGCTGAGTTTTCCTTCCTTCCCTTCACTCTTTACCTTTTTTTCCTCCTTCCTTTCCTCCCTCTTCCTCTTCCTCTAGCACTTCTGCTTGTGCTTTCTTTTATCCATTCAATCAAATGATACCTGTTATGTTCCAGGCACTAGGTTATGTGCTATATCTAACATGCATAGCTAAACACAGCAGATATAGTCTTGCCCTCACGGAGATTATAGAGGAATTGGCAAGACAAACATTAAACCATTAAAAACAGCCAAATGTACAAATAAAAATTACAGTAAGTAAAAAAAAAAAAGTTACAGTAAGTGCCATAAGGAAAAAGAACATGGTTCTGTGAGTGAGAATAAGATGAGTATCTGCTGTAGATTTGGTGGTCAGAGAAAGCCTCTTTGGGGAAGCAGCAGTAAAACCAAAATAAAAAAGATACAGGGAAGTCAGATGAAGAAGCAGCCAGATGAAGAACTAGGTTGGACTTACCAGGATGGGCTAAGTGATGCTACAATTAACAGCCCCAAACTCTTAGCGGCTTAAAACCATGAAGGTTTATTTCTCATTCGTGCTGCCTGTCCATAACAAAACAGCTGCGTACTCTCTTTTGTAGCATCCTCAGACCAGGACTTAGACAAAGAGTAGACGCTATTTGGGACATTGCCATTCTCCATGCAAAGAAGACGGTATGTGGTAAACCATGCACTCGCTCTTAAAGCTTTTACCTGGAATCACATCCCACGTTTCAGGGACCAGTGTTAGTCACAGGACCACATTTAATGTCAAGAGGCAGGGCTGTGCGCTCTGACTCATTCCACTTTCCCAGCCTCCCTTGCCGCTAGAGGTGGCGATAGGACACTGTCTGCTCAGGGGAACCTAAGGAGAACTCTGATGGGGGGGAATTCCAAGTCAGTTTTCATTTTTCTGCCAAGAGACAGGTACAGCCAACACAGCTGGTCCCTTCCTCCTGTCTTAAACACGGATGCTGTCCTGGAGCTGGCTGGCCATTTTGCCTAAGAAGGATAAGCCACAACTTGAAGATAGGGCACCTTCAGGATGAAAGGATCCTGAGTCCTTCAATGACCTGATTTGCAGCTGAACTAATGTAAGAACTGCCTAATTCTGGATTTCTTGTTATGTGGGCAAAAAAATGAAGCCTAAGCCTATTACTTGGAACCAGAAGCATTTCTAGCCTATGTAGGTGCGGGAGATGAACAGATACTGTGCTTGAAGCCCAGAAAGTCACCTTCCTCAGATACATTTCTCAGACTGGGTCAGCCAATACAGGAACCAAATAAGGCCTACCTTGCTTTGTTGGTAAAGCAGAGGGTTAGTAAAGCAGAGGGAAAAGACATCTCCCATCTTATTCCTCTCTCCAGGCTCCCAGTACTCCCTCTCTCCTTGATACCAATTCTCCACTTGCATACTTCTTTTCCTAGTTCCAGTTGCCCTCCCTTTAGCCTTTCTCCTCTTGAGTGTCTGAAAATGGCTACGTCCATTTCATGTAAATTATCCTAGGCACGATTAAATTAGGTCAATTTCTAAGAGCGATCTGAAAAATCAGGCCGTTTAATATTTAGTGCCAGCCTGTGGAATTCTTTCCATCCTTTCCCACAATCTCAGAGATACCTCCCAGGATATGTGGGACAATTAGCACCAATTGCCTTAAAAATGTGCTATGTGTTGGGACCTTTAAATTCCTGCTTCCTCATGGCCTGATTTACATGGGGCCCCAGGTCTTTTCAGACTCTAGAACTGAACTAGATGAAACCTGATTGCTAAATTGAGTCCTGTCAGTGGAGCACAAAGAAAGATGCAATGAAAATGTTTCACTACGGGGCACCTGGGTGGCTCAGTCAGTTAAGCGTCGTCTTTGGCTCAAGTCCTGATCCCAGCGTCCTGGGGTCAAGTCCTGTGCGAGGCTCCCTGCTCAGCGTGGGGGTCTGTTTCTCCCTCTCCTTCTCCCTCTGTTCCTACCCCCCACTTGTGTGCTCTCTCAAATAAATAAATAAAATCTTAAGAAAATATTTCAGTTTATGGCCATAATTTCTCCAAGTGGTCTCACCCACTCTAAGGACCTACTAAGTGATTAAGGAACTGGTAAGTTGAAGTGATTCAGGCACCTGCTCATGGAATTTTTTTTCCAGACAAGAATTTGCCTCTGGAATGTCCTGGAATACCCCTATTTTCTCCATTTATTACTCTTCAGCCCAGCAGCCTATTCAGATAGGACTGCTATTCATGATTGCTGTCTTTGTTCTACCCATTTTATTTTATTTTTTTTAAAGATTTTATTTATTTATTCATGAGAGACGGAGAGAGAGAGGGAGAGGGAGAGAGAGAGGGAGAAGCAGGCTCCCAAGGAGCAGGGAGCCCGATGCGGGACTCGATCCCAGGAACCTGGGACCATGACCCGAGCCGAAGGCAGACGCCCAACCATCTGAGCCACCCAGGCGCCCCCATTCTACCCATTTTAATTACCTTGTTTCTTTGTCATTGTTGCATGCGTTGTTGTAGATTTCGAATAAGTAGTGTTTTGTGTCTCTTGTGCCCTGAGTTGTTCAAACATCCGTTGTGATTCTCCAGATGATACAATTGTGGTTTTCAAATGAGAACTCATTCTGTTATCTTAAAGCTTGTAGCTTCTGTAAGTTTTCAAAAGTAAATTGTCTGGAACTTTTCTTACATTCAATTTCATAAGCCAGTTGTTCATGAAAAAAAAAGGACATAAGGGTACTTTGTAAGCTCTAAATCAGGAATTAGGAAAACTTGTTGTGGGTTCTTGTTTGTGTTCTGGTAGATAAGAATGAGGACCTAAGAGCACTCTATATCTGCCTGTTGTAACACATGAATCATCTTGTGTGCTTTGTCCTCTTCTTGGCTAACGTGAGGCTAATGGGAATTTCTTAGCAGATACCCTGTTTTGACTCATTCTTGTCTCCGAATACCAGAATGCCTGGCATACAATAGACACTTTTGAGAAATGTTCATTGGATGAATGGAGGATACAATTAATCAAAGGTTTTAGAAACCTTACTCCTCCCTTTTTAAATTCCCATTTAGAAATCTCTCATTAGGCTAGGAATTAGAAGACCTAGTTTCTGGTCTTATGTAGACTGCTCACTATCTTTAACGTGAATGACTTAATACTTCACAAGTTATTTTGAAGACCCCAAAGAGGTAACAAATAGTTTATAACATTTAAGTACCTTATAATCTAGCACAGAATTGGGTCATGAGCAGTATATTCAAGAAACTAAAGTCATCATTCCTGCTTTTGGGGAGATGCTAGTCTAGTCCGGTATAACAAAGCTCAGTACAACAAATGTAAAAGGAAATGATATGAGATGTGTGAAATGATTCTGGGATGTTTGTTTTTTTCTGGAACATAGAAATGTTGTGTTCAAGAAGGGACTGGAGGGGTGCCTGGGTGGCTCAGTTGGTTAAGTGTCTGACTCTTGATTTTGGCTCAGGTCATGAGATCGAGCCCTGCTTCAGGCTCTGCACTCAGCACTTGGAGAAGTTAGGATAGAATGGCAATAAGTACTGAGAGCAAAATCGTACTGCTAGTGGAAGATTTCAAAATTCAAATGCTAAGACACAAGCGCTATTTTTTCAACTACTGATATCAAAGGATTGTTGATTCAAGAGAGAGAAATTGTGTTTTCTGAAAGTATCTGGCTCTGACTACCTGATTCTTTCAAATCTTCTTCCGAATGAAAATAACCCTTCAATGAAGAGAGCTCCTCTCCTGTTTTCTTTTTTTTTGTTAAGTGATTTTTTTTTCCTTTCTCCTTCTAGGAAGCTGAAAAATGAACTCTTAGAAGCAAAACGTAGAAGTGGGAAGACTCAACAACAAACCAACAGAGTCTGCGTTCACTGCCAGAGAAACCTGGGCTTAATATTTGACCGAGGAGAGCCGTGCCCGGCCTGCTCCCTGAGAGTGTGCAGCGAGTGTCGGGTCTCGGGCCTTGATGGCGGCTGGAAGTGCACTATCTGTGCCAAAGTCGCGTGAGTTTCTTGCCCTGATGTGCAAAGCCAGATCTGATGACTGAAGGGCTTGGTGTGGGGAAAGGAAAAAAGAAAGGGGTGTTTAAAATTTAAGGATAGAGAGTGGAATTAAAATCTAGCCCAACCCAGGCTCAGCAGTGCCTTCGTAGAATTCTGGGGCTGGGGGCAGGGCAGGGGTGGCGGTGATGAGCATGAGCGAGTAAACACGAGCGAAATAGAGGCAGAGAGTGGTCTTTTTAGTTTTGAAAACTATAAAACAGTAAAATTGGAAGCTTCACAGAATGAGGTCTCCTACATTTGAAAACCACCCACGAGCTTTCTTCACTTCTAGCCCCACCGGACTCCACGTGTTTTCTCAGAAGCACAGGCAACTCCTCAAGGCCATCCTTAGAGGTTTGGGGTCACTGGCAAGATGAGTATGAAATATCCAGCCTGCTCTCCTTAGCAGCTGAGGGGCAAAATTTTTCTGCATCTATTGAAATGATCATATGGTTTTTATCTTTTCTCTATGTGATGTATCATGTTGATTGATTTGTGAATATTGAACCACCCTTGCATCCCAGGAATAAATCCCAGTTAATTATGGTGAATGAGTTCTTTAATGCATTGTTGGATTCAGCTTGTTAGTATTTTGTTGAGGATTTTTGCATCTATGCTCATCAGATATATTGGCCTATAGTGTTCTCTCTCTCTTTCTTTTAGTATCTTTATCTTGTTTTGGTACCAGGGTAAAGCTGGCCTCATAGGATGAATCTGGAGGGTTTCCTTCCTCTACTATTTTTTGAGTACTTTGAGAAGAATAGGTATTAATTCTTCTTAATGTCTGTGAAGCCATCTGGTCCTGGACTCTTGCTTATTGGGAGTTTTTTGACTACTTTTTCAATTACAATTGCTGATAATCTGTTCAAATTTTTTGTTTCTTCGTGATTTAGTTTTGGGGAGTTATATGTTTCTATGAATTTATCCATTTCGTCTAGACTGTCCAGTTTATTGGCATATAATTTTCCATTATATTTTCTTATAATCCTTTTGTATTTCTGTCGTGTTTGTTTGTTTTCTTTCATTTCTGACTTTATTTGACTTCTCTCTCTCTCTCTCTCTCTCTCAATCAGTCTGGCTAGAGGTTTATTGTATTTGTTGCTCTTTTCAAATAACCAGCTCCTGGTTTCATTGATCTGTTGTTTTTTAGTTCCTTTTCATTTATTTCTGCTCTAATCTTTGTTATTTCCTTCCTTCCGCTGGTTTGGGGTTTTGTTTGTTCTTTTCTAGCTCCTTTAGGTGTGAAGTTATGTTGTTTATTTGAGAGTTTTCTTGCTTCATGAGGTAGGCCTACATTGCTATAAACTTCCCTCATTGAACAGCTTTTGCTGTATCCCAAAGATTTTGGACCGTTGTGTTTTCATTTTCATTTGTCTTCATGTATTTTTTAATTTTCTCTTGGATTTCTTGGTTGACCCATTCATTGATTAGTAGCTTGTCATTTAATCTCCATGTATTTGTGGTCTTTCCAGATTTTTTTCTTGTGGTTGATTTCTAGTTGCATATTGTTGTGGTCAGTAAAGATGCATGGTATGACTTCTGTCTTTTTGAATTTGTTGAGACTTGTTCTGTGGCTTAATATGTGGTCTGTTCTGGAGAATGTTCCATGTGCACATGAAAAGGACATGTATTCTGATTTAGGATGGAACTTCTAAGTATATCTGTTAAATCTATCTGGTCCAATGGGTCATTCAAAGCCACTGTTTTGTTGTTGATTTTCTGTTTGGATGATCTGTCCACTGATGTGAGTAGAGCGTTAAAGTTTCCTACTATAATTGTGTTACTATTGATTAGTTCCTTTATATTTGTTATTAACTGTTTTATGTATTTTGGGTGATGCCATGTTGGGAGCATAAATACTTATGATTGTTACATCTTCTTGTTGGATTTTTCTCCCTTATTATTCATATAGAGTCCTTCTTTGTCTCTTGTTACAGTCTTTGTCGTAAAGTTTATTTTCTCTGATGTAAGTATTGCCACTTTGGCTTTCTTTTCACTTCCACTTGCATGATAAATGCCTTTCTACCCCTTCAATTTCAATCTGCCTGTGTCTTTAGGTTTGAAATCTGTCTCTTGTATGCAGCATATAGATGGGTCTTCCTTTTTTATCAATTCTGTCACCCTATATCTTTTGATTGGAGTGTTTAGTCCACTTACATTCAAAGTAATTATTGATAGGTATGTATTTATTGCCACTTTGTTACCTGTTTTATGGGTTTTTTTTGACATTTTTTGTTCCTTTTCTTTCTCTATCACAGTTTGCTGGGTTTCTTTAGTGATATACTTGGGACTCCTTTCTCCTTATTTTTTGCATATGTATTACTGGTTTTTGATTTGTGGTTACGTTTGTATATAACATGTGTTATATATGTATATGTATACACATATACATATGTATGTATATATGTATATAACATGTATATATGTATATAACATGTATATAACATGTGGTTAGGTTTGTATATAACATCTTATGCATATAGCAGTCTATATTAAGTTGATGGTCACTCAGGGTTGAACCCATTCTTTGCCACCCCCCCCGGTATTTTAAGTATGTATTGTCATACTTGACATTCTATTATTTTGTGATTCCTGTGACTGATTTTTATAGATATGCTTAATTTTACTGCTGTTGCACTTCCTACTTTTCCTACTCCTGCTTATGGTCTTTCTTTTCCATTCAGGGTCCCCTTTAACATTTCTTGTAGGGCTGGTTTAGGGGCCATGAATTCCTTTAATTTTTGTTTGTCTCAGATACTCTTTATCTCTCCTATTGTGAATGATATAGCCTTGCTGGATAGAGTGTTCTTGTCTGCAGGTTTTGTTTTTTTTTTTTCCATTCAGCACTTTGACTATATCATGCCACTCTCTTCTGGCCTACAATGTTGCTGCTAAAAAAATCAGCTGATAGCCTTATGGGGTTTCCCTTTTATGTAACTATTTTGTTTTCTCTTGCTGCTTTTGAAATTCTCTCTTTATCATTACTTTGTGCCATTTTAATTACTGCATGTCTGGGTGTGGATTTCCTTGGATTGATTTTGTTGTGGGCTTTCTCTCCTTCCTGGATCTGGAATTTTGTTTTGTTCACCAGATTTGGAAGTTTTCAGCTCTTATTTCTTCAAATAAATTTTCTGTCCCCTTTTCTGTCTCTTCTCCTTCTGGGGTCCCTATAATGTGAATGTTACTATGCTTAATGGTGTCACTGAGTTCCCTAAGTCTGTTTTTCATTTTTTATTGTTTTTTTTTTTCTCTCTCCTGTTCAGCTTGATTGCTTTCTACTACTCTGTCCTCCATTCTTCTGCTTCTTCTAGTATACTCTACCCTCTAGTGTATTTTTAACTTCACTTATTGGATTCTTCATCTCTGATGGGTTCTTTTTTTTATGTTTTCTATCGGTTTGTTAGGAATCTCACTATGGCCCTCCACTGTCTCAAATCCAGTGAGGATATTTATGACCATTACTTTAAATTCTCTATCAGGCATATTATTTATCTCCATTTCATTAAGCTCTCTTGCTATGATTTTGCACTGTTTTCTCATTTGGGACTGTCCTCTGTCTCCTCATTTTGTCTAACTCTCTATGTCTCTTTCTGTGTTAGGAAAGTCAGCTACATCTCCTGCTCTTTTTTTTTTTTTCTTTAAGTAGGCTCCATGCCCAAGGCGGAGCTTGAACTCGTAACCCCAAAGATTGGAAGTCACATGCTCTACCAGCTGAGCCAGCTGGGCACCCCTACATCTCCTGCTCTTGAAAGTAATAGCCTTAGGAAGAAGAAATACTCTAGTACCCTGCCGTGTAATGTCCCCTCTTCACCAGAATCTGGTGTTTCAGGGTTGTCTCCTATGTGGGTTGTGTACACCCTACTGTTGCAACTGAGCCGCTTTTGCCTTTAGTCAAGTTGTTTGCAATGGCTCTCTTTGCCTGTTGTGGGCAGGGTTTGGTCCCTGTGGTGTTAGTGGGCCAGTCTGGGGCCATCTTGGGCTTGAAGTGAGTCAGACCAGGCATTTGTCAGAAGTGCAGTAGCCCTGAAATGCAGGACACTCTCCCTGTGTTGTCTCCCTTGCTTTTGGTGGCGAGCAGGCTCTGCAGTCAGACCAGGTGTCTGCCCCCAGCCCACTGTTGGGGCTGCAGTGGGACTGGTGTGTGTGGTTATCTTCCCCTCTCCCTGGCGCAGGAGTCACTTTGTAGTGGTGCTGGCCTCTGTTGGGGGCTGCTGGCACAGTGCCAGTCTTACAGCACCACTTTGGATGGGCTCTGGTCAAAAGCTTATTGGAGGGGGCAGGTTCACAGGAGAATGAAAGGGCGTGGCACACTGTTAGCAAGTTGATTCTTGTAGGTGTTCGTGAGTCTAGGTTGGTGGGGGGGAGAGGGAAATGGTGCCTGCCAACCCTTTTGTTCTTGAAGTCTCCCGATCATCCCTGCCCTTCTAGCACATTGCTCTGAGATTAGGAAACAAATCCCCCTCCCGTATATCCCCAGGCATTTTTCAAACTGCTGCTTCTGTGCTGTATCTCAGTGGGGCTCTTGGGGGTGCTGTCTATCTAAGGATGGAGACTCAGTTTCCTTTTGCCCTCCTGGCTGTCCCAGAGCCAAGCCCTCTGAGTCTTAAAGTCCCAGGTGTTAAGCCCCACCAATTCTAAGAACTCACAAAATTAGGTCCCTCTGGTTTTCAAAGCCAAATATTATGGGGATTTGTCTTCCTGGTGCAGGTCCTCCATGCCTGGGGTGCCTGGAGTGGGGAACTCCTCTTCTCTTTGTCTCCCCTCTCCACGCCCTTGGTATCCCTCTCTCCCAGGGGCAGTCCTGTGGGTCCGTTTACCTCCCAACTGCATCTCCGCCCTTCCTACCCTCTTTGATGTGTCCTCTTATCTACATTTAGCTGTGGAGAGTCTGTTCTGCCAGTCTTTGGGTCATTCTCTGGGTTACATACACTAATGTGGGTGTTAGCTACTTGTATCTGTGG